CTGCAGCCAGAATACAGTCAGTTCTACCTTTAAAAGCGGACAATTATTCAAATCCAGCGGACCCACTGGGGGCAGATTATATTGGCGGTTTATACCAAATACGAGCACGTTTGCATTAAAAATAAAAAGATCGCATTACTGAGCGCGTAGATCTGTTTTGCGCCCCCCGTTCAAAAGCAGATTTATGCAGAGATAGGCGGATTTAGTTCAGAGTCACCAAATTTTATGTTATTTTGCCCGAGATGCAGTTCGAAAGGATTTATTGCGGGCAATCAAATTTTAAGGTAGGTTCTCGAAGCATGTATCTGCATTAATCTCCATTTTTGAAAAATGCGCACCATTTTTATGACTGGAAGCGTCAGTGGCCTTTTGGCCATTAATGCGTACGGAATACTGACAATTTAAATTTTTGCGAAAAGTATTATATGCTTATAATAGCACACGTTCCATTATAGTTCGTACAAAATAAGGGGAACAGAGCACAGTCATCTCAGTGCATCGCAACATAACAAGACACCCTGTTCTGAGGTACTGATGAGCACAGGAAGGGATATCTCAACCCACAGATCCTTTATGTCACGAGCCATATTTAGGGTACGTACGACAAATTGAAATTGGATAAGGGGAACAAGGTGACTATCACTCGGCCCTTGATATAAAATGGTGTATTTTCAAATCTGGACGAATCCAAATGGTGTAAGGAGGGCACAGAAGATTATTCAACACTCAAATCGGCCTCGGGTCAGGATAACAAGGAGACAACAATTCGCGATAGCTCCATCGCACAAACGGCCAGGTTACTCGCGACCTTTAATTGCCGACACCAAGCGAAGGCACAAGGAGTTACGCGCACACGAAACATCGCCTCCGGGTTGTGTCACCCAGAGGTCATCAGCATCACACGACGGCTGTCCGGATAAGCGTTCAGCACAGGGACCAATAAGAAGAGATAAAACAACTAAGGACCGATTGTCCTCAAATGCGAGAGTACACACGGAAGGCGGCATTTTTTTGCCCACATGAGAGCCTGCTGCCGACACATAGAAGACAAGCTGCAGACGTGGACGTCTTGACGCAGACGAGACGAAGCTGCCCCCAGATACGCTTAGAAGTTGAGGCACACGCGCAGAAGCTGATGTACAGGCAAAGACTGTTTCAGTAAACTGTCCTCTACTATCCTCTCTGTCTTCTTTTCCTAACACATAACTGAGTTGTTGATAGTTGGTTGGATCTCCAAGCATTTCTCTAGTGTAGGCACAACCGTCGAATAAATCGCTGGCTCTTAGCCTTACTGTGGTAGTACAGTACAGAACGCCTTGTTACGGAGCGCAGCCATCGCAGTGCATTGCAAGATACAGCCCCTTCTGAAGTGCTAATTACCGCGAATAAATCCATATCCAAACTCAAGGACCTTATAGCACATGAGCCAAATTTCGGGTATGTACGTCGAATTGAAACAGGGCAGGGAAAGCGGCGAAATATACATCACTGAGCCGTTCAAAAATGGTGTATTTTTATTGCGAATGATTCCCGTAAGCTTTTTGAATTTCCCTAAAAACTAATGCCGGAACCTGAAGCATCTTCAAGGACAAATGTCTTACTACGTTTTGCCAACTAACTGTTAGGAATGTTGAGCGGAATCAATATATTTAAGCGGAATTAGCGAGAGATCCACGCATTCTGTGCAGAGGCATTCACTAGCAAAAAGACTGATCGCTGAGTCACATGCCACCAGCACACTTACCTGATAAAACACTCCGATACCTGGTTATTTAACTGCCAGTCAACGTATAGTTTGTGATCTGTATCATCAGTTAGTTTTCAGTGCCATAACCACCGTTCTCTAGTTTGTTTTTGGCTTATAAATTTGGTGACGTGCATAGTACAACGTTGTTATTTGCTCACTAAGAGCATTTCGCAAAAGGGCTTTTGTTGAAAAGGCAGCTAGTCAAGATAGGCAGAACTTAATAGGACAGCAGTCGATTAAAATTAACCAATAGGAAGACTTGGAGTGTTAAATGGACGTAGACTGGTGTCGATTTGTGCTTACGCACCGCACACTTAACAACGTATCTTAAGACTTTGATAAACGCAAATGCTTTAAAATATCAAACAGATAATACCTTCTGTGGTCTCTGAACTCGGTAAAACAACCTCTATCTTGGGATATTTGAGGTAGCGTTTGGGATGGAAGTTTCATGAAAAATTGTATGGTGCCGATTTCGCTCGACAATTAAATTGTCATTTACTGGTTAGAATTACGGCATTTTTTCACTATTCCAGAATTCAAAACTTAAGTTTTTCTATTTTTTAACAAACGATTAGCACTTTTATATTTTACGTAAATGTTAATTTCGATTAAAAATATTCAAACTTAAATGTTTCAACGTTTTTCTACACGCACTAATGACGGTTTGCTAGTAATCATCAGTCTTTCTGCATTCTGCATCGAATAGTGTCCATACTGTACAAAACAGCCAGTTACGCACCGTGTCAGGGTCTGCTTTACAACCAAAGGAGCCAAATGATATTAAGGTCATTATAAGTAGTATCAAAGATAACGTGGACGCAACATCGATACTCAGCGCAACGTACCCCTGTTTGTCGTGATCACGAAACTGACGCAATAGAATCTCCACCTGACTCAGAGCAGAGTCAAGACGCGTGTAAATATCGCTTGGAAGACCCGCTGGGACGGACAGTTTGCCAGACTCTTGGCTCAACATCTGAAAGGCAAATGTAGCAAAACGGATCGGAAGTGAGTGAAACAACACAAAGATTTAGCCAAATACAACAAACGACACGATCATTTTGGCGTCACCTGTTAAAATGATCGCATAAACACAGATATATATTGCTAATATAAGCGAAGATGCGCGTCCCCGGACATAGATGAGAAGATAAGGCGATCTCGGGATCCCGATATCGCCTTATCGCAGAAGACTTCTGAACCGAAAAAATCTTTTGACTGTACCTAGCCTTCCAATGTTTACAGCAGTTTGGATACAGCAACAAAAAGGCAGTTATAGGGGCTAAATATTCGGTACCGCACGTCTGGAATTGACTGCACGTGTTCATCGTCGTAGATAACAGCATCAGCAATCTAAGCGCCAATAATATGAAGTGTAAATCAAACTAAGCGAACCGGATTTCTACATGTTCAGTACCGGAGGAACCAAACAGAATCTACTCCGCAGATATGGCACACTCTACTCTACATAACGGATGTTTCATAAGTGACAGAGCGCCTCGCTGTGGGACTAGGTGATGGAATTTCACGCCGACCCAAAGCTACCATGCGCAGCAGCGTTATTAAGAACAAAGACTGGCTTAATTCCAATGAGAAATCTAGGGCAATGTATCGCATCCCATGCCTAAGCTATTCATGCAATTACACAGGGTAATATGAACGACCGTTTGGATCGCGCATACATTAACTAAAGTTATCTGAACGTCGGGGTGACAAATTATAACACGTTGCAGCTCACACCTATGAAACAGATTATGCGTTTATTCTCGAAGTCTTCA